TATATATATATATATATATATATATCACACACACACTTATTACGGTTTGTGTTAGGCTGGGTCCACACCTGGGCGTTCATAATATGCGCATATGACGCACGTTTCGGGCCGCACGTTTTAACCGCGATTTGTGGTCCACGAAAATACGCCCTAAAAGAAGCTCCTGTACTTGTTTGGGCGTAGGGCGTTTTTCAGCGCGTTTCGACGCGCTGAAATACGCCCAGGTGGGAACCATGCCCATAGGAAATTATGGGATTTCACTTGCTGAGTGTTTTTCAGTGCTTCGATCCGTGCTGAAAAACGCCCAGGTGTGAACCCGGCCTTAATGTTGTATAGTGCATGGATTGGTTTGGGTTTGTTAGCATTAATAAATACTTTTCTTGTTGATTTTATACAGGAGTTGATTAACAAAAACCATTTCATCCAGGCTGTGTAGAGGGGCAAGAGCAAACTCCAGATGCATGCATGATGTTTTCAAAACAAGAAATATTTAAGAAATCAGAAATATCTAAATGCAGCTATATGCTTGTGATGGTATGTATGAACATTGCTTTGAAGATAAATTCCTGAATGTAAAGAATGCCCACATCTCCCACCAGGTTTCACTGGCTTGCCAAGCATTCCCCTTGTGTGATCATGAAGAAGCTTCAGAGATGCCAGTTTCACTGTTCCCTAAGGCTTATCATTCAGCTGGCAATGGATTAACAGTGAACTGCCGTAGCTACAGGTGACTTTCAATGTCCTCTTGTTCACCCTCAGAAAACCTGAGGTGCTCGAGTGTGTAAAGACAAATCCAGGTTGAGGGCTACTACATCCCATTGCCCGCACCCCGCTATTGATTCCTGAGCACATCACAGCATTACTTGTACTGCAGTAAGAACTAAAAGTAAGGCACATGAATTGAGCAGGAGGGACCAAGACTTGAGTTTTATTCACGAAATCTGAGCGTCCAAGTTTCTGAAGTCCCAGGATGCTTGAGAAGACACTGAAAAGTTTGTGCAGGCACCTGCTTTTATTTTTGCAGATTTAAAAGGTTTACATTAACAACAGCTTATTACTGAAAAAGAAAGATGTGGCAAGCACCCAATCAGCGTCCAAATTGTAGTGATTTATTTTACAGTAAAGGTTTTAAAATAAATGAAATAAAGCTGATGGAATGTTATGACCAACACGCCATTTTACCTTCAACACATTTTTACATATTAGACCCTAAGAGTGCATGTGACAACATTCTAAGGACTAAACTATATTTAATGACTTCTTGCCTGTTAGATAAGCAAACTAAGTGCTGACACTTGTCCTACTAGCATTACTCAAAGTTATTCAATGGTATCCAAAACCAAAGATTTTTCATGCCTGTAAATCCCTCATTTATACTGGAGAAAAATAAAAATAAAATCCTGTATCTCAGCATAAGCCAATTTTAACAATTGTATTTCTTTCTTAAAACCGTTACATTTAGTACATGAATTGTACAGTGCGGTCATGTTACCTGTGACCCAGCTGCCAGAGAGAAGTGTGACTTTTTCGAATACTGTTTTTTTATAACTTTGGAAAGACATATCTATGCATGAAGCAGACAACAAAACAAACAGTCCTCTTGTGGAAATCGATTTTGTTTCTTCCTACGGCTTCATATGATATATTATAAACGTAAGGTTGTGGCACTTCTGTACTTTGACAAAATGCTGATATGCTTGAGCTGTCTGTGCCCACCCACATTCAGAATTAATTAAAACAATACAAACAGACTCCGCTGCAGTGAGAATATAAATGTTAAAAAGAACAGGGAATGAGCTAGAATTCACATTTAAAAAGGACAAAAAACAAAGGTGTCCGTTAAAGCCCCATTGAGATATTTATACAAAAATTATTTTTTTTCACGCATTTTCTGCTCTGACACATTAAAACCTTGTATTCAACGGTTGATTTCTATGTTGTTTTTTTTAATAGGACGGTAACGTAGGCCACCTTCACCATGCATTAAGGTGCACGTAGACATGTTTTCACGCACTTAAATTAATTTCTACGGCCCTAGGGCCCTTTTCACACGGGCACTGTCAGTTCCAATCAGCAGGGGATCTGTGCAGGGATCCCCTGCTGATCGGAGCAGTATGGAATGGATGTCACCATAGTGACATCTGTGTCTGTCCAGTTTTTTCCTCCAGTCTTGCAATGGGAGGAAAAAACTGATGTACGGACCCATGCTAGATCTATGGGTAGTCAGATGTAATTGGACATGTGTCTGTTTACATCAGATTACCTCCAACCGTCATGAAAATGTGTTCTGTTTTGTATTCTGGACCTAGACCGAGTCGGAGGTACTTGGATGTAAACAGATGATTGTTCGCTTAGATCCAGCTGCCCACAGGCTAACAATGGGCTTCCAGTCAAATCCACCTGAAAAAACGTACAGGCAGGCCTGATTGGACCGTCTGTCTGAAAGGTGTGGTAATGTGTATCACTGGCCTACAAGCTGCACCTCCACTTTTTAAAAATATGAACGAGGCACACAGACTAAAATGTATCTGTAAGAGTCACCACTTATGTGGCCATACGATCTTTGTACAATCAACTTTAGATTTACCAAAACTATGTAATATAAGGACCCATCTAATCTATCCAATCAATCAATTTGTATCCAGCCAGGAAGGCCCTTGCACTACATACT